AGATTCTGAGTGTAGTGAAAGATCTATTTGTTGTACTACGTATTTTTTTTTTTTTTTGGTCTATAGACAATGTTTCGGCTAGTAATCTCGCTCTAATAAAAAAAATGTCATGAGATCTTTGTTTTCCTAAAGAGTTTTCAAAATAATTCCGAAAAATCGAAATAAAATTATAGGTAAAAATTGAATATTGTCCTTCAAACAATTTAACAGAGGCTTATTATTATTCGTACTTTGTGTTTTTTGAAAAAAGTAGTTTTTTGTATTAAAGTTTTGAGTTCAAACTGAAACGACTCTTTCGTATTATTTTCGATCTGGTTGATGTTTTGTGGTTTTTTTGTGTAGGTTTTTGACAGTTGTGAAAATATAGAAAACTGAGAAAGTTAATCTTTTTTAATTAAAATGTCTTTTATTTTTGTAATTTTTTTAAAAAACGTTAAAAATAATCATAAATATCTAAAATGTTCACAAACTACCGATATTAGTCACTCTAGACTAAGTAAAAAATTCTGGCGATTTTTAAACTCTGGATAAATATTTGATATTTTAACGTACTTTTATTTGTAGATTTTGAGTGGATAAAATCGTTTGAGTCTATCAGAAGTGCTTGGAAATTTAATACGAGGTTCTTTATAACTTTTATTTAGTAGCGAAAACCACTTAATAAAAGTTTAGTGTAACGTAGTAGTTTTTTCGTACATTTTAAGTTCAAATTTTGGCGAAAAAAAATATAAACACTGTATTATAAAACACATTTAACCGAAATTCGCTCAGAATCATATTGTTTCGTCAGCAATAAATAATCATTATGCACAGATTACAGCTATTTAGATAGATTTAGATAACCGTGGTACAGATGTGAATTGAGTAACTTGATTTGTTTTAATTTCCCTATTACTCGTCTACAACATTAGCAGTACCTGCTTTTTTGCCTGCTTTATGTTTGTATATATTATTTTATATACGTGATGGCTATGGAACGCAGTGGAAAGTTTTGGAACAATTCTAAAAGGTACTCTCGGGATATCACAGCCGGTAATGGGTATAGGTACATAATTTAGCGTTTTAGCGAGCTCTTAATATAATCCCAAAGACCCTTAATATCAATTTTAACTAGAGGTCTCGATTGGAAACATGATTCAATAAGTATGTGAAAACGGAATCTGTATACACATGAATGAACAATTTGTGAATTTACTATTCGCACTCACGTGTTTTACTGTTATTTATGTGAATGCCTACTAAAAATACGCGAACAATAATGTGATATAAATAAATAAACGTATACACGTGAAGCCGTTGTTTTTATGTAGCGGTTTTATAGATTCGAATGTTATAATTTTACCTGTACGTGTTAAAACGTAAACACGTTTTTATTTTGTAATTCGAATGAAAATAATCATAGGGACTTGTTTTTTTCACAAAATACTATTAACGTTTATTCATTTATAAACACTTGTCTTTATTATGGATATTTTTAAGTTTGTTTTTTGGTTAATAAAAGTACTCACTTTTATTAGCCTTTCTAGATGTGATAAACTTTTTTTTAAAAGTTAGTGATTTTTATGCTATTTATAGGTATTTTACATTTTTGGGTTTAGTTTTTTGTTTTTATTTGATAGGTTCTATATAGAAACAATTGTTCGACCAAACAGAAATGCTTGGAAATTTAATGCAAGGTTCATTGTAAGTTGTATTTAGTAGTTGAAAAAAATGTAGGGGTAATGCAATAGGTTATTGTTTTTTTTTTTTATAAAGAGTTTTAAGAAAACATTTTGATGAGAATCGTAAATGTACATTTCAAAATATGTATAACCGAACTATTGTCATAATCGTATAGCGTTAGCAATGATTTATTGTGTGTATTGATTTATTTATTTACAGATCTAAATTAAATAATTTTATGCATCCTGCCTTCCCAACTTCCCACTTAAAATATTTGCACACCCATCCCTGGTATCGGCTCTTTTTTTTTAAATTTAGGTTGTCATTTATTTTGTAAATGAAACATGTACTTATAAACAATATTACTAGTTAAAATTTAAATGGCTCTCATTTTATCAATTATGGATTAAAAACACAAGTTGATATTTACACCGAAATTATTTGAAATATTTAACCAACCCGAATAAGTTACAACTCAAAATATAGGGTTTAGTTAATAAAAAAAAGAAGCGAATTCGTTTTGCACATGAGCAAAATACACCGGTTTAAAACAATTGTAATGCCAAGGATTTGATGACCTATTATTCTAGTTTTATGTTCCACAAACATAATTTATGTATAAATTATATGAAAAATGTTTACATGGTGTCCTTATTTTCGTGAATACACGGTTTACCTATATGTTCTTTTACAACATTATTTACATTTAAAAAATAAACATATAGTTTGAAGTTTCGTGCGTGGTCGATCTAGTTAGATTGGCTGACTGAAACATTGTTTTAATGTGATAATAATATTATCGTTTAATCTGTTAACGTTTCCCCGTTTAAAACAACAACAGCCTTGCAAATTAATGGTTACGAAATATATACTCGCCGAATTTCGTTTTCGTATATTATAATAACAAGGAATTCGTTATTATTGTGCACTTTTGCAGTACGTATTTCAACAGTGCACCGAAATATTGTTTGTAAAACATTGTTGTGTAGTTTTTGTTTATTATAATTTATATGATAATTTTGACTTATTAATAGGGCTAAGATAGTATAGGATTTTGCATTTTTTTTTATGATCTTCAGGGTATAGCTTTCCACGCACAAAATTTGATTTTATCATAAAAAAGTTCAAGTATGTAAATATTTTTTTCAATTTTTTTGCATTTTTCTGACTATTTAAAATTTATTTTTTTTTTTTTTTGGTATTTATAGGTCATTTTAAATTTTTATTATCATTTACTTTCGAAAAATAATTTGTTTAAATGGTCTTTACGTGTTATCTTCATTAATTTATTATTAAATTTAACGTACCGGTACCTACTCATTATACGTATGATATTGATTTTACATATTTAGTTAGTGTTTTGATTTTCGAGAGTAAGTTACGTTTTAGAAAATAAATAAATACGAAAATGTAATATGCAGAACGTATACGTTGGAAACAAAAATTGGATATTGATTGATAAAATTTCAGATGCAAATGTCGATTTATCGTTAATGTAATAATTGGGACTTTCGAAATTGATAATCCAGGTAAAACTTTTCTTTTAAATTCCAAGTGTCTAACAAAGGCAAACCAAGAATCAATTGTGAGATATTTTTAATAATAATTCATTTTTGTTTTATGGCCTGGTGGAGTGAATCGTGAAAATGTACTTTTATTTGTAATACACGCAGCTTCATATATGGTGAAAGCGCGACAAGATCTTTGAAATTATTGTATATGAACATAAAACATGTTACGTGCTTAGCTCATGCACTTCATAGAGTAGCTGAAGAAATAAGAATATACTCACCTACAGTAGATGATTTCATAACGATTATGAAAAAAGTGTTTTTAAAATCTCCAGTTTTTCTATCAAGATATTAGAAACTTCAGGTTTACCACTAAAAGATTATATACAATTTGTAGTTGATTTACAAGAAAAAATTCAAAAATCAATAAGTCAAACTGGTAAAGCCATACAAACCATACTAAAAATGATGTTGGAGAAAAACACTGGATTTGAAACATTAAAAATAGTATCAACAATTATAGATGGAACTAAATTAGATACAAATGGTGTTCCTAACGAGTTCAATATTGACGATATCGCTTATATGAAGTTTGCTACGATTACTTCTGTGGATGTCAAAAAGCAGTTTTTCATCTTACAAAACATTGTTAATTGACAACCTTCGGTCCAATATATTCGAAAACTTGAAGGAGTCACTAACTGTCCTGTATAACAGTAAATAATTTAAAGGTATTTTTTAGTATAAAAATATTAAATATCTAAATTAATTTTAATTTTACAATATTATTTTACTATATTAATTTCAGAACAAATGATACTGGCCATTATACGAGAAGAATAATTTATTTGTATACCTAAGAATATAAATTATTATTTATTAGTTTATTAATACAATTATTATTTTTTCGATCATTTTATGATGTCATTTTTTCTTATTGAGTCATTGTTTTGGTCATTTTTTAGGTTTTTAGGTCATTAAAATCCTAGCCTTACTTATTATTGACCAGTAACTGTTGCGGTACATATAGTAAATGTAACTTTTTAATTACATATTATTATTGCAGTTTCTTGCCTTTGAGTGTGAAATGATAATATAATGGTTCCGCATTGTTCTAAAACTACGTTTTCAATAATTGCCATTCTTGTACAGCGTATACAAAGTTCGCAATAAACTTTATGTACTCGATATTTAAATTTCAAACTATACATTACATTATTTGATTTACTATCCATACCCATACACATACATTATATACTGTAATATTAGGATATACTCGTAGTTTCACAAATCTGTGTACTGAACAATATTATTGTGGTTCAATCGACGCATCTTGGATATAGGCCATTTTGTATCTATCTAATAGTAGGTGTCGGTATCTAGTAAGATGGTAATTAAGTTATAGGCGGGCGGGCGGATAGGAAAATACTGAATATCTATATCTATATTTTGAATACAGCGCAGTAGGTATTCAATCTTCGGGGAAATAATCAACCGTTATAAACAATAAAGATTGTAACGAAAAAGACGATAATATCATGCTCGTAATAATGTACGTATATTGCACGGATTTTGTTTCGAATAAAACGAGCGGTTTGAGTGGTAATCGCGGTTCCTCGGGCGAACATATGGTTTTACATGTCACTGGTTCACGCGATCCGGCATCGGTAAAACTATAATAACTTCTCAGCTATACACCCTGGAACGTACGAAACCGCCGTCACTGTTCTGGGCAGCGGTGTCGGCGTTTCGCCTACACGCGATAGGCGTGCACAGAGAGCGCGTCGAAACGGAATACGCTGTGGACTGGCGATGCGGAGTCCAACGGTTTAGTCGCACGAGACGCGGCCACGACGACCGGACGTCAACACGGGGCTTTACTATTGGGAAACCCGAGAAGACGACGACGGGCAGAACGGGACGGACGTACGAAGTGTATTCGAAGTGTGCAACGACGGCCATACCAATAGTGCACCGTATAATATAACCCGACGCGGGAATCAATCGCGTAAAACGAAAACGCCCCGCAGAAACAGCGAACCGGACCGATGGAGAATATTTATCCGCGACGGGTTCCCGTCATAGGCAACCTGACCGGAAACGGATGGACCGTGGCCAGCCAGGAGAGCGTGCTGTCCCTGATAGTCGTGCTCGGCAGCAGCGTTTCCTTGGTCGGACTCATATTCGCTTTCATCACGTACAGGTAACATAGCGGACCGACTATCGCGTGAGAATAATAAAATATAAATATAATTTAGCTCGTTTTTTTTTTCCGAAAAAAAAAAAGGCATATGCCGGCGGCGGAAACGGGCTTTTCGAGTCACTAGTTTTTCATTAAAATACTCTGCCCTTCCCGTACACCGCCATCGCTGCCGACCACTTGGATTTTTTTTACGCGCACTTCTATTTTTACGATTTTGTCCGACAATATACGTCACGCCAACGCTATAATAATATCTAGGGTACGGATTTGAACGTTCTAAACATTGTCGAGAAAAATTATCGACAAATCGAAATACGGTGAAAATGAGCGTGTTATTTTTAAAGACGTGTCCGTCGTAATATACGTTAATCGAATTATCACGCGCTATCGTGTTTTCGGGATATTATACTCGTATATTGTTCTATGGTAGTCGGAAAAAAAAAAAAAACATGTATGTATACACTTTTCATAGAAATAATATATTATTATCGTTATGTGATCGTTGCAACGACGCATTAAACGTAATCCCGGCACAACAACGGACGTCCGTTATTACAATATTTTATCAAAATAACGTCCGCCCGGTCCATTATTATATGACTATTGTGATATCCGCGCACAAACGTTCTTTTGGACCGAAATAATAATAATAATAATAATATTATGATCCACTAGAACCTCGTCGTACGCGATATATTCCGTTCCGTAGTAGGATATACTGCGTAATATTCGATGTATTTAAAGTGGCTTTTAAAAGGTCTTGCAAGTAATCTTCCAGTGTTATACGCTCTCCGTATATATATAAATATATATAACACGTGTACAATGGAACGTTACCCCGTCGTACTGCTTTCCCGAAAAAGCGTTTACGTCACAATAGTTTTAGATCCTGAACGAAACGTACAGTAGTATAGGTATTGGTTTTTATATATAATAGGTATAATACACGAGTTGTATTTTTCTCTTTTCTCTCTTTCCCTTTCGGTAGTGAATTTTGAATCTAGTCTCAACGACCGTCATCTTTTGTTGACATTTTTCGTATTTTCCCAATTCATTATAATATAATATTTACAAAATATCGCTAAAAACGATTTAAGGGTTGTTTTTTTTTTTTTTTAGGAATTCAGTAAGAAATATTCGTATAGACACCTGAAACGTTTACCGAATACCTATATAAATACTTAAGTTGGGATTTTCTAGACTTAGTACAATATTATCGACATTTTTCCGCTCGTTTTGAGCTAATTTCAAATGCGTTTTGCGATTGAATGTTTCAATTTTATTTTTGGTCACGTTTAAATTTTCGAAACATTTATTATACGTTGATCTTATATTGACGGAAAAAAAAGGTTTGTGTACATTTTTGTTATGTGTTTAATGTTTGTATTTATACGAAATCCGTAAAAGTCACGAACAATATTGGAAATTATTTGGAAGTTAACAATTTTCTAATTTTCCAGTCATAACTGTGCTTCACTCAGAATCATATTTTGTTTGTTTTAATTCTTTTCTCTAGATGACCATAAATCGGACACCGATATTGCCTTAGACTATACCATCAATAACGTTATTTTCAATCGAATGACAGTCGATCTCGTTTCGTCTGTTTTGTAATCCGATCCTCTTATTTTTCATAGTATTATCTATTCGGTTTTCGTTGACGTGCTATAATATAAGTACTTGTGTACACGTTTTGTTAAGAGAAGTCCGCCAACGTGCTTGACACCGATTGGATTTTCTCTGTGACCTCGTAAAACCACGATGATTATAGCCGCATATTTTTCGTATCGATTCTAATGCCGATGAATGTTTGTTCTATCGACCCTAATCGTTATAGTAAATGTATCATTTTCAGTAAAAATTTGATATAATAATACGTCATCGTTTATAATATTACCATCGTCAGCATTTTCTTTTTGGAGAATAAGGAATAAAAAAAAAATGCAGATGTAGTTTTGGCAGTGTGTTTACACATAATTATTATTAGCTAAAATAATAAGAGAGAAAGAGAAGTACCCACGGTGCTTTGGAAAGGTTAAAGGTTGAAAGAAAAAACAAACGGACATACTTCGCTTGATGGGCGGTCCTCTGTTTTAAGTGTGAAGTTGGAAAGGTAGAGGGGAAATTTAATGTATATTTGTACGCAACGATTAACCATTTCTAACGAAAAACGGAGTTCTGTTATACAGATTTGAAAAGCCGTAATATTTACTGTTTGAAAATAACACATTTCGTAAGTTTTACCATTTTTCCTACGTTTTTTCCCTGTTTTTGTCATTTATTATGAAAATCCCAGGGAAAATTAAAAACCTACTTAAAGTATCACCCCAGACTAATTTATTTTCAGAAAAAAGTGCTACACTTGAAAATCGGAGAAAAGTTTCTGGTAGAAAAATTGTTCACAGAAAAAAAAAAGCATCATTGTGAAACCAATATATTTTTCGCTCCATTCAAAAATTTAAAAGAACAATAGTTTTGATAGGGATCTAGTCGAGAAGGTAAATTATCTACATAGTTTATAAAAGAATAAACTGACTGACAATTGATACTAGAAACTTGAAAATTCGCACAAAGATTCCTTATATGTTTAATGCATGTAACAGCTTTGCAAATAATTTTTGAAATTCAACACTTCTGGGGGTGGAAAGGAGAGCCAAAGTCTGAGTGGAAAATAACTTTATACATGATTAGTCTTAACGTCGGAATTACATATTAAGTAAACAATGGGAGATTTTGGTTTTGATTTAAGTGTACAAATGTATGCCATGTAATAAATACGTATAAATAGATAAATAAAGTGATTATCTAAGATTAGATAAATACTATTCATCTTTTATACACCCCGTAGATAAGGCATTATAAATATATAAATATAGGGCGTTTTTTTTTTTATCGTGAAACAACAATTTTTGTCGAAGGGGTTTAAGCGAATTTGATTTTTGTTTTTTTTTTTTTTTAAATATTGTGAAATCGGTTAAGATTTATTTGTTTAGCAATTTGTCATTTAAAAATATATATGCAATTTATTACCTTTCCTCCAGTCTAAACTTTAAACTGGTATAACCCTTATAACTCATAAACGATAAATCTGATATTTGTGTAATGCATAGCAAAATTTCTATTTCGTTTATATGAACTATCACTATGCTACTATGAAATAGTTCTTTAACTTTGTTATTTTTACAGATTTTTAACGTTATTTTTAAATATAATCGATGAAATGTCTTCAAAAAAAAAAAAAATCGTTAACCAGGTAATAAGAAAATGTCTGAAACAATTATATACAGAGTGTAGCAGGACTAATTTGCATTTTTGCATTACAGCCACATGTAAAAATGTCAAATAGTCCAGTTACACCCTGTATACCCGAAAGTGTTGATGAATACGACAAAACACACACAAACGTCGTACAAGTTTTACGATAAAACCAATACGTTATTTGCTTCGCTCGGAATCTAAAATAAAATATTTTCTCGGGTTCCTTATTTTACCTTTATCAATGTCAGGTTCAAACTTGAACGGAATATAATATTCTATTTTAATATATATATATATATATATATATATATATGTATCCTCCTATATATATATAGGAGCAAACTTATTATTATAATAATTGACTTGAAAGACATTTTCTGTGCCGGCGGCACAGGCAAATATTCTCTAACCCGGGTTTTGATACATATATAATAATATTGCAATTCACCTCATCTATTTGTCTGTCTAAAATGTTAAATTACTATAATATAATGATACAATGTTATTTCTAATGCTGTTTATAATACCCGAGATGAAATAAACATGGATTTTGCGCTTTTTAACGGTGAAAAAAATCGATAATAATATTCGGATACATATTTTGTACCACGGTTTGGCGAAAATCGTACACGGTTTGTTGGAAATGTAGATTGTATAATGTATAGAAATATTGTAGTTTATGAACCACGATAATCCGTCGCAAACGAAAAATGATTCTATTATAATAATTAAATTATTAAAAAACTACAAGAAAAATCGAGAAATTGTTTTCTGATAGATCAACTGTAGACAAAATTGTCGACTAATACAAAAGCATATCTAAAGTTGACGATCAGAACCATTTTTTATAGACACAACACATATTGTGATAAAACCATTGCATTCCTCGATACTCTCGAAAATCTAAAATATCACATTCCGTACACCAAGGGCGGCCAAACGGTAGATCTTCATCAACTGGTAAACCGTAGACGGTTTTAATGTCGATCTCCTTTTGTTAAAATTTATTTGTATACAACTAGTAAATAAATTATTTTTGTCAACAATTTATTTTTTTGTAATAGATCATTAATTGTTACAAGTTCATCAAATAATACAGTTTAACAGTATTTATGTTGACAATTTTATTTCTAATATATTTAATTTATAGTATAACAGTCTTAAAAAAATTATGACGAAAAACATGATTTAACTATACATTTTAATTTTGTAATTTGCATACAACATGTAATGGTACACGGTAACAATATGTTAATAATATTGGACAATTAATAATTATGGATTTTTTACTCTTAGTAGATCTCTATTAAAAAAAAGTTAGCCTCCCTTGCCGTATACGATTCCGATAATTTTTTGTTAGTGAGTATTTTGATTGTATACAATAATTACATTTAGACGTTTTCCACTAAGTTCTTCATATTTTATGTATGCATATGTATTTTGCACTTACAACACATATTGTAAGCAGTTATTTATTTCTACATAAATACATAATAAACACAATTTTACTCTTACCGTCATCGTCGTCATCATTGGTGAGATGCTTAATGAGTTTTTCTTTGTCCTCGAGATTTTAATAATGTCAAACCCTCACTTAGACGTAATGATAACGCAAAAATGACATTGTAATAATAATAAGTTATTTTTGAGCACTTAACGTTTTTTTTTTTTCTTTTTTTTAATAATTTTTACTTTTTACGTAAATATTATATAAGATAGCTAGGAAGGAGGTACATATAGTTTTCTTTTTATATTATTTAAAACCATTTTAATAAAACTTCTTTAAAATTGTTTTTCGAAATTCAATTTTGCTCGTGGTGTATAAAACAGGTAGGTACGACTAAAGAAAAGTACAAACTAATACATAAAATATTCGGAAACATTGACATAAGAACTTAGGCGAGTACTTATACTTTATAGAAAGCTTATTTAATTGGAGAATCTTCAAATAGGGAACCGTTCCTTTTTGGTTATCTATAAAAGTGTATTATTTTTAAGATAAAAATTAAATTGAGGTTTCATTGTTAACTATTATCAATGGTAAGTGATAAAATGTGTGTATATTTATAGATAAATAGAGAGAGAGAGAGATATGATAACCAAGCAAAATTGCAAATCCTTTTTTCTTATCGTCTTAAAACTACTTTAAGTATCTATTTTAAAACTAAAATTTATTTCACGTAATTTATAATTTGTGATTAATAAATAATGATTAAATGTAATAAAAATAAATAGAAAATACAGTAAAATATCATTCATTACTTGTTTTAAAACAAAAGGTTTTCACAAAATGGATAAAAAAAAAAAAAACTGTGGATTTTTTTTTGTAAATATTATATAGTTTCCAACTGTTTTAAAGACTATATCCCTCCCTGAACCAATTTATTGATACGTCACCGACTGTTAACTACCAAATGTAAATACCGAGTATGCATCTCTAGCATTGTCATCCCAAGAAATATTAACCGTGTTATCGCCAAATGGCCGGTTACGTGAAATGATAATAAGACCAGTTGTCCACTTTGTTATTACATAGGTTGCCGGGCAAGCAAAAAAAATAAGTATAAAAGTATTAGTAAATATTTAACGGTAATATATTTGTAGTGTGTGTGTTATCAGATCAGAATTTTAATGAAATACTTACCATCAAACCATATCGCAGCGTATAAGACATTATTTTTTAGTGGCTATTTGTGTGTATATTACGACACAATTTGTGCACTAAAAAATCCCAAATGTATACTACGAAAAATTAAAATGTTAGTTAAAAAGTTTTTATGAAAAACATGTATATTTTTTTTATATCAATCTTTGATAATAAACTAAAAATCACAAAAAGTGTTTACTTTTTCAGAATATTTTTTTTTCGAACAATTTATTAAAAAAATAGTGCCAAAATGTTATATTACCGTTTTTTTTTTTTTGTCATTCTTTGGTTTGGAGATGAAACTACTACTTACTTTTGATTTTAAAATACAGCATCTCACATTAAAAATTCAATAAATAGTTGCAGTTTTAGTTGAAATAAATTTTGGTGCTAACATTTTCCGTCATCCCCCTGAATAAAACTCAAATGCATGTATTGCACATATGTGTATTACTACGGAAGTCTGAAAAATTAGCCACTGTTATTTTTAATTAATAAAACAACCGACCGTTCCGAACGTAAACTTTAGTGAGCATAAGTTTCGTTAATTACGCAGGTAAAAGATACAAATATATATATAACAACCGCAGCTTTAAATAAAAAAAAAAGACACATCACTTTATAATATATTGTTAAATTTGTTTCGGAATACGAATTTACGTAATATCAATATTGTAAGATTGTCGTATTGATTAATTTTTTTCTTTAGACTATAATTTATATTCATTTTTAAAACCACGGATAATTGTCAGTGTTGAGCATTATCTAGATAACTAATTAACTTTCTAATATTTAATCTAATTAATAAACAAAATTAGTTATCTGATGAAATATCTTAGATGAATAATTGAGTTATCTAACGTAATTCATTTAGATAAATAAATATATATTTCTATCCGAGAAATTCGAAAAATTGAATTTGAAAATTAAAACCCATGTCTCATTAGTGAACCAACCTTGTACAAATAGAAAAAAAATTAAAAACATAAAGTAATAGGTAATATTATCCGGCTCGTTTATTTGTGTTATTTCTAAATTTTAATAGAAATTATAGATTATAGAATTTAGTTTAAATTGACAAACAAATTGTAGATTAATTAATAAAATTAAAACAATTTATATCTTTTTTTTTATCCAGATAAATAGTGTTTTATCTTTTATCTTTATTTAGATATATTTTTATTCATCTTTGCTCAAAACTGATGACGGTATATCACACACTGTATGCACTTACTTCGCATGGACAAAAAATTATAATACCTATTGAAATTTGAAAATGCATAACGTTATGGAAATAAATTAAACTTTTTTATTTTAAATCAAATCTACAATAAAATGTATTTTAACCTAAACTAACCATGGATACAAAAAAAATCCTTAAAAATATCACTCCAAAAAAAAAAAACAATATAAAAAGTTATGTTTTTACTGTCCATATTAAGTATACTAAGTTATAATTTTTCACACTTTATTGAACGGGTGTAAGTTCAATTATTTCATCATGTTAATAAATTGTTTAATTGATAGTGAAAGGGTGGATTCTATTATGGTTGATGTTTTTTATCCGTAATGGTAGATTTCGAACGATTCGGTCCCAGCAAACGATATCTATAAATTGATAAAAAAAATAATTGATAGAATTCTCGTAGTTATATCTGTATGTGATTAAAATATAATCAATACTGTTATCTGTTGAAATTCATTAAAAAATTCATTAAATGTTTAAATATTTTACAAAAGTGAAAGTTTTAAGTGCCATTCATAATATATAACAATATATCAGTCAATAATAAGAATACATTTCTATTATTCACATGTTCTGAAACAGTATGTTTAAAACAATATTGTATTACCTATACGTAGACAACTTGAGCCATTTCTCGACGTTAACGGCTAACAAACTTAGAAATTCGGACGTCGTCGTCGTATAGGCACGTGTTATTCCTGAAATTTCGTTGAAATGCACTACCAGACGATCGGTATAAACTTATAAAATTGTTATATTTAATGGAATTATTAAAGTTTGAGTTTGCTCAAAATCGACGTTTGTAATAACTACATATATTATATTATAGAAAACGGATTTCTAAGTAGGTACTCGAAAAGTATTAAAAATCATTTCAAATGAAACAATACAATTCGAACAAGAGTTGATACTGAGAACGGGTGTGCCATTGATGTAGGTTCGGAAGTAGAAAAGGTAGGATATATAAAGTTATTAAATTTATATCTGTCAGTAATGATAATCCTCTGCTGACGAAAACGATTCAGAAAGAAATTCAGTAATACATGTTTTGAGTAGTATTTCCGATTTTCGTCAAAATTTGATATTAAAACTCTTTCACCATTTCACCTAATTCACCAAATAGATCAAATTTCTTTTCTAAAGTTGACTCGAAAATTATGAGTGGTTGGGTACACCCGATTTGATAAACACATTTAAAAGGTATTACAACAAGAACAATAATGTAGGTTTATAATTTTAAATTTTACTAAAAATATATGTACATTTGAATATTC